TTCTGCCCATAGAGCCAGCCCACACGAAAGGAAAATAGAACCTTCTTCTTCGATCTGTGTAACTCCTGGGTCTTGAACCACTCATGGATTTTCTAACTCCCTCTAGTTTTTCGTTGACTGAACCACAAATGCGTCCTATGGTTCTTCGCAAAATTCTCATCAGTCAATCAACATTGGCTCATAAGCGTCGATGGAATGACGGAGTAACCAACACCCAAGCTGTATTTATACCGCTACTCTGCTTTGTCCAAGAACAACCACACAGCAAGGCAACAAACAAACACGTCCGCTCCGGGCGATCGAAGAAGACGACGAAATCTTAAACACGCCGCTAACTTACTGCAGGTGCAGGAAAAATGTCAGGTGGAGGCGACGAGCTGAAGCTTCTGAGCACATGGTTCAGCCCGTTCGGGTCCAGGGTGAAGCTCGCGCTCCACCTCAAGGGCCTGAGCTACGAGTACGTGGAGGAGGACCTCATGAACAAGAGCCAGCTCCTCCTCGAGAGCAACCCCGTCCACAAGAAGGTCCCCGTTCTCTTCCACGGGGGCAAGGCTCTCTGTGAGTCCATGGTCATCGTGGATTATATCGAGGAGGCCTTCCCTGACGCCGGACCGCCGCTTCTCCCCTCCGACCCCTACGAACGCGCCGTCGCTCGGTTCTGGGTCGCTTTTATCGAAAACAAGGTACCATGCATGATGCTTTCTGAACCAACGCACATGTTGTTGGCGACTCGATCGATACTACAAACTCAACGATTTGTTGGTTTATGTGCGCATGCAGTTTGTGGCGCCGTGGTGCCAGATGTTCGACGTCACCAAGACGCGCGAAGAGAAGGCCGAGGGGTTGAAGCAGATTCTTGCGGCGAGGGCAACCATGGAGGGCGCTCTGGAGGAGTACTCCAAGGGGAAGGGGAGGCCCTTCTTCGGCGGCGACAGCGTCGGGTGCGTCGACATTGCGCTGGGCGGACTGCTCGTGTGGGTGCGCGCGTCCGAGGTGCTGTCCGGCGTCAAGTTACTCGACGCCGCCACGGCCCCGCTCCTGTCAGCATGGGCGGAGCGCCTCGCCGCGCTTGACGCGGCCAAGGCGGCCCTGCCAGACTTCGGCAGGGTGCTCGAGTACGCCATGAAGATGCGGGGCCCCGCGGCAGCAGGCGCTGTGGCGGCGAACAAATGAATGAACCCACGAATCTTGAGCTCGATGAAGGTTTACAGCGTGCAACACCGAATAATGTTACGACTCATGTAGTCATGTCGTGTTCTTTGGTTGCATCGTGCATGCACGTTGCAGTTAGTGTGGTCGTCTGTATGCATGTTTTACAGTTATATATGTAATGTAGTCATTTTTAACAATATATGGTTATGATCAAGCTGCACGTCCATGGTTTATTAGTCAATAATCTTATAATCATATAGACGTTTGATTTGGATGTTATGTTAAATAACGGCGGCAGAATACAGGAGACTAGCAGTGTTTTTTAAGAAAAAAAAAGGAATTTTTAAAATTCCGGTCTCCCTAGTCTCTATAACTCATACACCACTTAACCATTCATTGATCATTACACGTCTAGCATCCAGTTGATAACAACAAACTCCCAAAGAGCAAATAAAATATATAAAAAAACCACTCATGCACCAAACTAAGCGCTAAATTTCAGTGTTAGCTTCTACTGCTACATTCAATAAATTTCACTAGTACTCCTCCTATAGGCTATAGAGCGACTAACAACATACAAGTTCGTTGTCGAAGAAACGCCTCCAAGATGAACTATATGCTTCATGCTTAGACATGTGTTATCTCTCCTTTATATATCCTCACTGGGCTACAGGTATTGGGTAATTTGGGTTGGGCTTGATCTTCCTCTTTGTCCGTTGATGACTCCTAAAAGAGCATCTAGGGCCCTAAATGGTTTGTGTAAACCACGCAATTAAGGATCCAATGATATCTACAAAATGATGACATGTTATAAGTGATTGTGGGTGCATGACAACACAAGAGACCCCCAACACAAATTCAATGGAATACGACAAAAGAAAAAAAAATGAAGGCTTACTTATCTTTCATTTTAGAATTGAGTATATAAGAGAAAAGACGTACTGTGTCAAGGAGATACAAAATTAGCAGCTTAAGATGATCAAGTGTTCAATTCCTATCCAAAAGTTCAGATAGCCACCTAGAGCATCTTCAGTAGGGCACTCAAACCAAATTTTGAGGGATTAGAAGATCCATTAACGATCCTATTCAGGCCCTCAAATTAAGAGACCCTCAAATCTTACTCTTTGTCCCTCGCTCTTGCGAGCATAGACACTGAGAGAGCGGGCATAAGAAAATATAGTCAATGGTTTCCAATTTGCCACGCAAGATGCATTTGTCATCCGCTTTCCATCCTCTTCGTTTTGGAATGCATGCATCTTGGATCCTTGGAGCTTGTCATTCAACAATTGCCACATAAAAATTTTAATTTTGAGTGGAGTTTTGCATTTCCATATAAGGTCAGCCTCCCCCTGTTAAAGCATATAGAGGTGGAGATAAAATATAGATATTCTGAATGACATCCACTACTCGACTTCAGTAGGCCCATGTTCATGGTAGATTATGAGTCATGGGTGTTTTTTTTAATTGGGTACAACTTCAACGCATATAACTCACACATAATGGAATTTGGTGATTCTTCACACTCACGCCAAATACACAACTTGTGGGAAAAGTGTATTTAAATTATATAAAATCGAAAATTGTAACAATCGAAACATGCGCTTTTAGCATGTAGAGGCATGTAAAAAATGAGAAGGTTTAACCTAAATTTTCCTGGAAAAAATTCAGAAAAAATGTGACACCAAGGTTTCAACCCTGATGGATAGTATCCCACTGAACAGCCCTATCATTAGACCACAGGCCTATTTGGAGTTTATGAGTCATGGGTGTGGCCATGGGTCTAACTCGGCGTTGACTGTAGGAGACAAAAGCCAGATAGTTGATATGCGAAAAAGGCCAGAAAGGCCAGATAGTTGGATCGAGACGATGAGAAAGGGGCCCAATCTGTATGGGCCGTCCATTGTATGTTCAGTAGATGGGATCGAAACAAGTAGAAAGAGGCCCAGTTTTTTGTATGACGTGCTCCTTTGGTGTGATTCTGCCCCTTTGCGCAGTCCCATCTCGTGTGCGCGATGCGCCGTTAAAACTGCCTGCGAAATCCGAGACTGCCCGTCCGAGCCAATGTGCTCCCAGTTGCTTAGTGTGTACCGTGTGGTTTGTAATATATTGTGGATTTCGAACAAATTTGGTCGTTTGTGATATATAAATGTGGTTTGTGACATATTGTTGTTTCTTTGAGAGGTGGCTTCCCGAGTGCGAGGATTTTTATAAAAAACAAATTTTCTTCCCGTGCCCGAACTTGACTTTCGGCAAAGAGTATTTAAAAAAAATTAAAAATCTTTCCCGAGTGTTGCACTCGGGAAGAAAATCAAAAAAAACGAGCCGGGAGGATTAGCGAGTGTTGCACTCGGGGAAGGCTTCCCCGAGTGCAACTGGGCCTTCCCCGAGTGCAACCGGCACTCGGGGAATCTAGCGGTTCCTGTAGTGCTGGTAAAGCATATAGAGGTGGAGATAAAATATAGATATTCTGAATGACATCCACAACTCGACTTCAGTAGGCCCATGTTCATCGTAGATTATGAGTCATGGGTGTTTTTTTTAATTGGGTACAACTTCAACGCATATAACTCACACACTTCACACTCACGCCAGTACACATGAGTAACACCGAATGCGCTAGCGTGCATGTACCCTAAATTTTCTGGAAAAAATTCAGAAAAAAAATGTGACACCAAGGTTTCAACCCTGATGGATAGTATCCCACTGAACAGCCCTATCATTAGACCACAGGCCTATTTTGAGTTTATGAGTCATGGGTGTGGCCATGGGTCTAACTCGGCGTTGACTGTAGGAGACAAAAGCCAGATAGTTGATATGCGAAAAAGGCCAGAAAGGCCAGATAGTTGGATCGAGACGACGAGAAAGGGGCCCAATCTGTATGGGCCGTCCATTGTATGTTCAGTAGATGGGATCGAAACAAGTAGAAAGAGGCCCAGTTTTTTGTATGACGTGCTCCCTTGGTGTGATTCTGCCCCGCGCAGTCCCATCTCGTGTGCGCGATGCGCCGTTAAAACTGCCTGCGAAATCCGAGTGCCCGTCCGAGCCAATGTGCTCCACTTGCCCTGCATTCTGCGAGCCGCCGAGCCGGGCGACACGGCCAAAGGCAAATAGAACCTTGGTCTCCGATCGCATGTTGATCCTGGGTATTGACTCGACCACTTGAATTTGCTTACCTGTCTCTAGTTTTCTCTGTTCACCCGAACCAATACAGCGTCGAACAAGATTCAACAACGTTTGCCCGTAGAAGTCGCACGAAGCCTCAAACGACGACGGAGTAACCAATGCCCAAGCTCTATATATACCACTATTCGCTTGAACGTCGCTCCAATCACATCACACAGCGAGGAAACAAACACATTGTCAACAGCAAAAATTAAACAAGAATCAGCACGCAGGAAGCTAAGGAAATGGCAGGTGGAGGAGACGAGATGAAGCTTCTGAGCACTTGGTTCAGCCCGTTCGGATCCCGAGTGAAGCTCGCGCTCCACCTCAAGGGCCTGAGCTACGACTACGTCGAGGAGGACCTCACCAACAAGAGCCAGCTCCTCCTCGAGAGCAACCCCGTCCACAAGAAGGTCCCCGTGCTATTCCACAAGGGCAAGGCCCTGTGCGAGTCCATGGTCATCGTCGACTACATTGAGGAGGCGTTCGCCGACGCTGGACCGCCGCTCCTCCCCTCTGACCTCTACGAACGTGCCATCGCTCGGTTCTGGGTCGTCTTCATCGAGGCCAAGGTTGCCTTACCGGCGTCCTGCGCTACTTAATTTGATCTGACGCATATTTGTTCGTGGTTCACGCTGCAGATTGAGCTGGTGATGACGTTTGTTTGCGTGCGTGCGTGCGTGCAGCTGGTGGAGCCCTGGTTCAAGATGCTTGACGGCACCAGGACACGAGCGGAGATGGGCGAGGGGGTGAAGCAGATGCTCGCGGCGGTGGCGACCCTGGAGGGCGCGCTGGCGCAGTGCTCCAAGGGGAGACCCTTCTTCGGCGGCGACGGTGTCGGGTACGTGGACGTCGCGCTGGGCGGCCTCCTCGTGTGGGTGCGCGCGTCCGAGGTACTGCTCGGCGTCAAGTTCCTCGACGCCGCCAGGACCCCGCTCCTAGCGGCCTGGGCCGAGCGCTTCGCCTCGCTTGACGCGGCCAAGGCGACCCTGCCGGACTTCGGCAGGGTGATCAAGCACGCCATGATGAGGCGGGGCGCGGCGGCAGCCGCTCTGGCGCAGAATAACTGAACCTACGCGGTTCCTAAGCTCGATGAAGGTTTACGCGGTGGCCGTGCGATATTATCGATTGAGTGCTCCTGTTCCTCTTTGGTGCGATGTTGTGGCACGTGCTTCTTTGGTGCGATGTTGTGGCACGTGCTTCTTTGGTGCGATGTTGTGGCACGTGCTTCTTTGGTGCGATGTTGTGGCACGTGCGATACATTGCAAGAGTGCGACTTGTGTGGTTACTTGTTAGTGTGTTAGGTAATGATCGAGTATACATCCTTGGTCTTTCGCCTTTCTACGCTTTTTTGGTGTGTAGGTTTCAGTAGAAATGTAGTCCTAAAAAGTAGAGTTAATTAAGGTCCTGTTTGGAGTTTCTATTGGAAATGCTCTCAAGACTATAAAAAGCTAGAAATGACGGAAATATTTTAGATAGATGTTTTTAAAAAATTAAGGATTTAAATAGCGGACTAAGCTATTTAGCTATGGTTTCTTACAAAAAAATCATAAAATGCTATAGCAAGGTATGTGGTCAGTTTGGTTTACCTATGAACTGTGAATAAGCTATTATGAGCTATATATTGTGGAAAAACGGTTGTAAACTATGTGCGGTTAAAAAGCTACTAAAAGTGCAATCAAGCCCTAATTGTGGGTTTGGGTGATAATGACTACGTAATTAGAGAACTAATGAGATTTATCGAGATGATAAGTAGGAAATTTATATTCGAGGATGCTACACGAAACAGAAGAGCCCCCAATTCCAAATATAGATGGCTTCAAACTCAAAAGAGGTTTAAGATTGTTTTATATCTTGAATTTGAATATAGGAAAAGCCGTACTATAAAGGGGGACACAATGCTTAAGCTAATATATGTTACCAAGTGCTCAAACAACCACATGCATCCTCAGATTCATAGCCAAGATAGTCTACACTTCACTATTACCCTTGCTGTCTTGCGTGGTGCGGCACTGCAGCACTTGAAGAGAGGCTCGCCCGACCCCTTGGGTGTGAGCTCCGTCTCACCCGACCTCTAGGCCATGGGCTCTGTCTCGCCCGACCTCTTGGGTGCGTTGTCCGTTGAGCGAGCTTCGTTTCGCCTGACCCCTTGGGTGCGAGCTCCATCTCGCCCGACCCCTTGGGTGCGAGCTCCATCTCACCCGACCTCTAGGGCATGGGCTCTGTCTCGCCCGACCTCGAGGACACGGGCTTCGTCTCGCCCGACCTCTTGGGTGTGTTGTCCATTGAGGGCTGGGGTATATATACATTTTCCTTTCCTTCCCAACGGCTATCTGCGATTTAAGTGACCGTTGGGGTCGGGGGGTATATATACCTTTCTCCTTTCTTCCCAACAGTAACTTGCCTCTTCTTCCTCACTTGAGCACGTCTAAAGCAGAGCAGGAGCTCTCTCTCTCACTCCATTATTGACCTAAAGCCCTCAAGCAAATCCATTGATTTCCCAATCAATCATTGAGAGAAAATGGTCCAAAACTTGATTAGAAAGCAACTCCATTGATTCCCAAATTCTAAAGAGCACTTGGTTAACGTTTTGGCCGACGGTTGTGTTTGTTACTCTTGGAGCTTGACTCCTAGTCGGCTAGAGCGTCGCCCGTGGAGTTTGCCAACTAGTGTGGCAGCTCTAGGAGGTTTGTAACCACCTCTTGCAGCAGGTAAAATCACTCCTCATCTCAAGAGTTTACTCTCTTAACTTGAGAATGAGGTAGGGTCGCAAAGCCCTCAGCCTTAGTGGTATACCTCAACAACGTGGACTTAGGCAAGCCTTGGTGACGAGCTGAACCACGGGATAAATCCCTGTGTCATCTTGTGCTCGTGTTGCTATACTTGTGTTCTTCTTGTTGTTGAGGTGATTTCTAGAGTTTGAGGCCGATCTACTTGTGTGTGGTGTTCCCACCACTTTTAGCTGTCGATCTGTGATCTACTACCCTGTAGGGAGCTAAAAAATTTACCCGATCTAAATTTCATTGGGTAGATTTTGAACTGTGAACTAATCTCTCCTACAGGTGCGACAGTACCACTGTTAGGAGCGGCAGTGCCGTGGGTGAATTTGACTTTGGTTTGAGTTGAATTTTTACAGACCTATTCACCCACCTCTAGGCGTATCAGAGATCCTACAAGTGGTATCAGAGCAGGTTACCTCGTGTGCGCTTCACCGCGTGAGGTATGGAACCCGGGGGAGGATCAAGTGTTATGAAGCCCATCAACGTCAATCCAGAGGACGTTGGGCTGCATGACACTGACAGCAGTGAGCTTAGCGCCTCTACATGAAGCAACTCCATGATCCCGCAGCTAGAGGCAACCGATGCCGAAAAAGCTCGAAATGAAGAAGAAAGAAAAAGAAGAAGGGCAGCTAGAAAAGAGAAAAGTGAAGCAAGAGAGAAGAAGAAGGAGCAGCAGCGGTTAGAAGAGAAGAAAGCAAGAAAAGAAGATAGAAGACTCAAGAGAGAAGCTAGAAGAAAAAGAAGAGAAGCAAGAAAGAAGAAGGAACAAGAAGCAAAAGCCTCCAATGCATCTTCAAGTGAGCTATCTAGCAGCTCTGAAGATGGTGATGATGATGAGTCCTACCAAGTGCATAGCAAGAATGACAAGAAAGGAAAGGGCAAGAAGAATGACGACAACAAATATGCCGTCGTATCCTTTAACTATTCTTCTATGTCTATGACTAACCATGATCGCAAGTCTTTCATCAATGTACCCGTGGGCAAGTTACCTCATTTTGATGGGACTAATTTTGTCAAGTGGAAGCACTTGATGAGAGCATATCTTATAGGTCTTCATCCCGTTATTTGGGAGGTTGTTTGCAATTGATTTGAGCCACCAATTGATCCCAAGAATCCAACCATGGAAGAAATGAGAATCATCCACCTCAATAGTCAAGCTATTAATGTGTTACTTAGTGCCTTGGATGGTGATGAGTACAATAGAGTGATTGGTGTGGATGTTGCTAAGAAAATTTAGGATACTTTGCATCTTGCACATAAAGGGGTTGACAAAGTGAGAAATGCAAGAATTGATTTGTTGATGTCCAAGCTCAACTGATTTGTTATCTTGGATGGAGAAGGGCCACAAGAGATGTTTGATAGGTTGATGACAATGGTGGGCAAGATTAGAGGCTATGGTTGTGATGAGCTAGATGATCATAAAGTTGTCAAGATTATGTTGAAAGCTTATTCACCTAGAAATGAGATCGTAGTCACTCTAATTAGAGACAAGAAATTTGAGTACTTCACACCAAATGATGTACTTGGGAGGATCTTGACCTTTGACACGCAAAGAGAAGAAGCAAATGAGAGGAAGAAACTTGGAGAATTGCAAGCAAAGTTAGAGGGCATCAAGATCAAAGATGTAGCTCTTAAGGCCAACAAATCAAGTAAGCAAGGCTCTACAAGCAAGTCCAAGATCAACCAACAAGCTTCAACTAGCAATCCCAAAGCAAGCAAGCAAGTTCAAGAAAGAGTAGAGACCACATCATCTTCAAGTGAAAGTAAAAAAGATGATGATCAATATGAGAAAGTTGATGATGTTGCTCTCTTTATGAAGATGTATCACAAGGTTGTGGCAGAACCACCTAATCTAATACCTCCCGGGAGCGCTCGTCTTCCATTAGACACTAAGCACTCAAGGGAGAACACCAAATTACATAGTTCCATCGGGCACACCCCAGGGAAGAACCTGAAAATCCACATTTTTCCATCAGGATCATAAATGAGAGAATAAAGCTTACATCATTTAACCATTTCTTACATCACTTTTAGTACAACATCAGAGTATAATATTTAATGTTATAACAGCGGAATGTAATCATCTTAACAGAGTTATGAACAATTTAATTGAACAGCGAAATATAAATATGTGAACAGAGTTACAGCGGAATTAATTATCTATTCATGTCATGATAAAGCATTGATATGTAAACTATGACAACAGTTTATCAAACTTTCATTTATAAAAATATTTAGTGAGAGTTATAAATAAAAACTATGATCACAGCGTAAAGGAAATCCTCTCTGAGCCCACCAGGGGGAATCCACACACAAGAGTCAGATTTAGCATCCACCTATCACCTGCAACAGGGGGAATAAAACCCTGGGTACTCAATTGTACTCAACAAGACTTACCTAACAGGAGGAAAGAAAATACTCCAAAGATATGCAAGGCTATCTGGCTGGTGGGTTTATTGCATCTGTAGGAGCATTACTAAAAGTGCGTCCTTATATTCAATTTTTATTAATAGCCGCATTGGTTCATCAACTAACCATTCTATGTAAGCATCTGTGCTACTTTCAAGCAGGTGATAAGCAATCAGATTTCCTTTTCCATTCCATCTTTCATCTTCCAGTTCTTACTACGATGCTAGAGTTAAGACAAGTCATACCGAAACACCAGCGATTCGTGAATCAATGCCCCCAGCTGGGTACCCCAAAAACACACGCCCCGCTTGTACCCTAGGCACAAGCAGGACCAACCCATCACCCCCTGTCCTAGGTGTCTAGGTCCCCGTCCAAACTGGGACTCCAAGCCTCCGCCCTCAAGTCCCGGACTCAGTGCGGTGCAAGGACCTCCTAACCTAAAAACCACCAAGATAGTCGGTCCGGAAAGAGCCGGATCCACGATAAGAGAGCAACAACTCTTCCAAGCGCCCATATCCAAGTATGTGTTTGAAATAATAAGTCTGTGACTTGCCTAACGTCTTATGCAACGGCCGGTCCTTAACCGACACAGACAGGGAAAGCAGTGTAACCATGCTTTGCCCCGCATCCGCGGCAACACAACCTCTTACACCCACCAATACCAAAACCATATCCCTTCCCGGTCATCATTTTCCTTTCCACCATTTTTATATATTCCAAGTGTTAATAATCCAATAATATATTTCCTATCTCTCGTGAGTGATAGCCATCACTTGACTTCTACCGAGTCCTGTAGCATAGCAATCTACACGATCCTATCATACTAGTAAGGCTCATAGAATAAATATATATATATATATATATGCAAGTGGATTTCATTC